ATAGGCGTACGGGACAGCGGCCGACAATGTATTAGGAAATAAAGAGCTATCGCCATTTGTTAATAATTCCCGTATTTATTTAATAATTCCGTTTGCCTTCCGTTTATTTTAGTAAATCCTCTGTTGACCGCAAATCCCCACCACTGCCGTGGGTCGTGGGAGGTCCGAATGATCCTCATGGAGCTAGCTAGCTTGCACTCGGGATCTTTCCGAATTTTCCGTGGAATCGGGTTCAGCTGTTTGCACACGCCCCGGCACCGGGCATGATAATTTTCACACGCGCCGACAAAATTGAAATGTAATCTTATGCGAAATGATCATCAGAGCCGGCGTCGGCTCCGGTTTTGCCGGCTTTAGTCGGGAAATCGCGAGTCGCGTCGCGCTTTTCGTGCCTGATGCCCTAATATAAATTAAAGCGGCTCTGCGTCCGTCCGGGCCGAAATTCCGGCAAGCGATTTCGCGGGGAATTCGTAAATGTGGATCGAATCCCGACATCCCCTATTGGGCAGGGCGCGGATCCTCGGAAAAGGAAAGCCGCGTTGAAACAAATAAAAATAGGATCTACCTCTCAACGGTGATTTATGTAGCACGTTCATTTTCATACACATGATCCAAATCTAGTTTAAAGGAAACTTCCAGTGAAACTGTAATTACTAAAATCGACGGGACGTACTAAAAACTTCTTACCATTTGAAGAACATAGTTTGTCATAGTATAGGACATTTTGGAGATGCCGTCAATTTTTCACGTTCGAGGTAGCTGCGAAATTAATTATACAGGAATCATTTTCTGACGCGAGGACTCCGAAGATGGATGAAGTCGAGGAAGGAGACTCGACTCGATTAACTTGGATATTTGCGGCACCGCATACACACGGTGAACTTTTGTTTATCAAACATTTACGGAGCTTTTACCGCCTCGTAAAACTCTCGAGCCACTCTTGTGTTTCGTTGCCACGGACAAATTCCATTTGGCTACCTTTTCCTCGTGCTCGATACTCGCGTGCCTGGACCTCTCCTTTAATTCGTTAGCTATGATACCGGTCAGGTCGCTTTAAACCGAGTAGCAGAACAATTTCACACGTCCACCCGCCCTCCAGACCCAGGGGGCTCGATAAAGTTATCGAATGGACGACCAGCCAAACGATGCGTGGATCGAACGTCAAGCGCCACCGGAAGTGCCGCCAAGAGACGCAAAGTGACCGGGCTGGATGCGGAAACGACGCTCCATCAATTTTTTACCCTTAAATGGAACTTGGGTTGCACTTTTAAGATCCGATGCTTTGTTTTCAAATAAACCTGCTTTTTCTTTGCCTCCATGTTATGTACCATTTCATACCGCAGACTTCACTTTGCGTTGTTACGATGTACATTTTCTGAATAAACTGAACTGGTTTCGTTAAATTTACTCGAATCCAAAGTCGTGTCGAAGTACTCATTGAAACTGGTTTTGTCATAAAAGCGTATATTTCTCAATATTGTTCATATACACGATACAAAATGTGGATGCAACCTTATAATCTCAAGGATGTTGACGATCGATTTCTTACCGCAAAGGGTGACAAAAAGAAAATCAATGGGACACAAATTCATGTCAATAATTACGCGTAATCACGGCTGAAACCATACAGATAAATCGGCTTCCTGTGGAGCCGCAGCGATGTAAGTGACCTTAGAGTGTTTCGAATATTCATCTGGACGAGGTGCAAAAAGGATCAGCCAATTCGGATGGAGAATAAGAAAGGTGGAAAAGCATAGCAACGAACTCGTAAGTGAAAAGTATCAGAAAATCAGGGTGACAAAGAACTCGTTACAAGACGATGTGATGAAAATGTTTGACTGACCCCCGTAAGACATATTTATGTCGAAAGGCGTCAACTGGGCTCTTCGAGAGACCGGGGTCTCCGAATCAACAGGTTACCGGTCCGCATGGAAGGCACCGAATTTCCAGGTTGCAGTCATAAGCGAGCACCCACGTCTCCTTCAGGCGGAGTAGGTATTCGCCCGAGGCAAGCTTGGCCGTTATTACGAATTAAGACCCCCCTAGGGCTGCAAGGTCAACTTCCGACTGGGTGGCAGGTCGGTCGAAGAGGGAGAAGTTGCCCGTAGGGTCGAGTCTCGACGACTTCGGCTCAAAAAAGAAGAGAAGCCCGACGAGGACGCCCTCGAGATCGCGTTTCATTCGGTCTTCCCGTGGGCATAGGAATAGGGGGGACTGGGCATGGCGTCGTAACTTATTGTTAGACGCGGGGATGTGCAGCAGTGACATAGGGGTTCGATCATACAAACGTAGCACAAAGTGTGAATAGGTCTTCCTGCATTTTGCATTGAGAATTAACCGAGTGGAAAATGACATTTCATGGCAGGAATGAGGATAGGAATTTTAAGATGATGTGAAAGTATTCTCCGAGGTATCCAATTATTCATAAAACTTCCCCGAATTTGGTGCATTTTGTTACTTTAGACTAACGAAAATGCCAGGAAAGAGGAACTCCCGCGATTTTGTAATTTTCACTGCAGTAAGAATGTCGGACACTCCACGTGAGATTACGCAATAGGTTTTTGTGTCGAAAAAACGGAACGATATATGAAAAGGGAAAGAAAAACTCGAGCAACGAACACATGAATGTGTAACACGTTTAAGTTCATTTGTTTGGTTAATGTGACTTGACAGCTGCAAGCGAATTATTTGATAATGATGAATGAGAGTTATGTAAATGACAAAGGGAGCACATCGAGGAATTTCTGATCCATGTGCTATTCCAGAAAATCAGTTCCGTATTAGTAATATTCAACGGTATATTAAGTAATAATTTTTATTGTTCTGTAAGGTTCATAGGTATTTATTATGTCGCATATGAAACTTGCGGCTTTTCGCAATTCTTTGTACGGAATGAGGTGTGAATTCAAACCGTTTCTCAAGCGAAATAGTACGGTCACATATATGAAACGCATTCAAAACCTTTTCCCCATATTTTCGGTCTAGGGATTTCACATTTTCACTCCAGGGATATAAAATTGGGTGAATAAATTCACACGAGATGAAAGTGCGAAAAGTGAGCACTTTCCCCATGGATACAAAATCGACCTCCTGCTCTCTAGTCTCCGTGCCTATGTCAACCGGTTATCTGTTCGACACATACTAACAAAAAAGCTGATAACTAAACTATTACTTAGACTCGATATCAAATTTTTGTATTATTCATTCATTTCTGTATGTATTTTGGATAGAATATCATATTGAATTCAAACATCTAAGTATTTGATAACCAAAATTATTAACGGCGAATAACTATTGTTTGTAATTGATGTAAGAACGAGTAACTTGTAACTTGTAACTTGTTAAGACCTGGAGGCTTGATTGTTGTTCCTTTCGTACAAATTGTCTTCCGGATGAGAATTAGACTGGCAATTCCATCAAATTTTAGTTTGTTATAAAAATAGTACTAATTCATTCAAAGCCTCTGACTCTTTGAAGCGAATCAACTTTTCATTCTGCCACGTTTATGCACAGAAAATGTACCGATAACAGGTGAAACAGACTTGATGAGGCTGAGCTTAAAAAAATGGTGTATCGTTTGCAGTTTCCCTTAATTTCATTCGATAATTTCTTAATATATTCTTAATTTGATAATCCCGAGATACAAATTTCCTTCTTAAGGGAATGTAAAAGCGGCATCTGAAGAGTCATTCGTTTATGAAACATTACTCCAATCTGAATGTGTCGAATCGTTTCAAACTTTGTTCATGTGGAGGCTATGAGAAAGATCCTGACACTCATAAAATTTCATTTTTTATAACAAATTTTCAAAGTACCTGTGAAGAAATTTAAAAAAAATCAATATTTCATGAGTGTTAGGACCTTATACTCTCCATATTTATATTGTAAACTTTGAAACGATTCAATACGCCCAGTTCAGAGAAAAGTTTCATAGACGAGACCTATGTCTCTCTGTCCGGTCTAGGGTCTTTACCGAGAAATTATACCTAGGTCCAGCTAGGTCAGCGTGAAGGCATCAATGTGTCAACTTTTACACGGGAAATCCCATAACACTGTACATGATACTTTCATATCACCTTAAAGCTTCGGCCAGCTTTTTCGTCATTATCGTCAGGGTGTTGGCGAAAGGGCGCGAAGCCATGGAAACGCGGCAGCCTAAAAAATTCTTTCTATCTCGCAGACCAGAATCTCCCGGATGCGTTTCCGCGTGCGGCCGCGGTAAAATGTGGCCCCCTGACTTATGTCGACCCCTCCCTAGGGCCGACGTCGGTATTCGCTTTGGAGTCCGTGAAAACGGGCGCCACCCCCCGAACCCGTTGACCCCCTCGCGCGATCCCTCGTTATTTAATTAGGGCGCCCTACCGGCTGCGCAAAGCGAATTACGCCATTTTTACCTCCGTTTTATTCCCACCCCGAATCCCGGGCACTGTTGTACCGTTCGGGCGGTCTCGTTAAATCTGTAACGCTAATTAACGGGGTCGTAATAATTCGGCGCGGCGCGCAACGCCATCGGCGATCGCAGCTTCGAAACCCGCTCAATACTAACGGACATTAATCGGCTAATATTCCGGTAATGTGCTGCTCGTAACCAATGAAAAATGGAAGTAGAGGTCATTGTTGTGGGGGAGCTTTGCTCGATGATCGTTACGTTCTGAATTTGAAGTCGGCGGAAATAAACTGCTGTCGATGGCTTCTCAATGATTTGGCGGCAGAAAAAGGGTTCGATGACGTATAAAAGAAGCTTTTTTGCCGTATTGGTTGAAAGGAGTACAAGATTGAATTACTGGATCGGGTACATACATAATTCGTTGTTTTTAGAAGTATTTTCGTGGCATTTCTCAGGAAAACCTGTCCCTAAAATTATCTTGACGAGTTTAATCCGTTTTTTCGTTGCGTTATGGAACTTTAAAGAAGAAAAATCCCAAATTGTTTTAGCGTGGTTAGTACGTATACTTAGGGTGCAGTAACTTTGGGTTAAAGAAAATCTTTTCCTTTTACAGGACACCCTCCAGTAGAACCATGTTACGGTTTCTGATCGTCCTCTTCCTGATGGTTGCGAAACCATGCAGCGGCGGTCATCCGTATCCCATCAAGATCGGTAAGTCGAGTGTAGAAGTTCCCTCCAGCCTCTGAAATTGGGCAGTACAAAGGCAATAGGAGCGTTTCCCTCGTAATCGAGAGCAAGGAAAGTCGTGGAGATCGTTCCCCTCGCTTGGTCGCATCTTCCATTTCCTTGGTCCAGGGCCCTAGTCACCTCGTCCTTCCGTAAAACCGTAAAACCGCAGGGGGTGCTCCCCGCTCGATATCTCCTGTGGTTGGCGTCGGGAAGGGAATGGCCATGGGGTGGATATTATAAGAATCGAGGTGTTCTATTTCCTCTACGGAAGTTGTGGCATCAAGCAGGCGACTCGCGGTTTGCGTGACAACAACGTAGACAGCCTCGTAGAAACCCCCGAACCATGTTCTCGCGTCAATCCATAAGTTTTAACCGCAGACTCCTTCCCATATACCCGAGTCGAGATTATCGATCTTGGTTGAACTTCTGGATTCCCTATTCATCATTTACTTTGCTCACAATTTCTAGTTCCGTTTAGTTCACGAAGAACCACGGAGTTCATTTTTCGCATCGGAACGATTCAACTGAATCCAAGCTTGAGAAATCTCAGAATGGAATATATGGTTATTCCAATTTGCACAAGTTAAATCTGAGAATCTTCAAACTATTTGTCGTTAAAGTATGATGGAATAGAACTAATTGGAATATATATATTAACTGTTTGAGTCTCAGGGATCATTCAAGCAACATTGCGAAGAATACCGAACAGCGCGATAGCGCTTGTATTAATTTGTTTTTTGGTGCTAAATAGAGAAGGAAGGAAGAGCACGCTATTTCGAAAGACTCCGAGTGCACCATCAGTTGTCAATAATATTCAAATGTACCGGGATTTTTCGACATGAAATTTAAACAGCGCAATAGGACTCAAACTGTTAAGAAAGATGAGTTCCTTACGTTATAGCAGTCGTTAAAAGTAAAATCTTAGATATGTAAAGTTTAATATTCCAACTTATGTTAATATTCTATGCAAAACTTCGTTCTTAGAGTCAGGGGTGATGCTCTCGAGGACGAAGCAGGCCCAAATGAATATTTAAAAATTGAAGTTTCCAAAGTATAACCAAGTCTCGATCTAATGCTCATTTGAGACTGAACCCTACGAAAGCGAATAAAAATCTGTATTTGAGGTTCAAATGAGACCGGATTTGTTCCCTGGCTTTCCCTTATGTTATTCTCTAAATCCTCGCGTGCGTTCACGAGACTCATGTGAGATAGAAATGTTCGACTAAGGGTCGGAACATCCAGTCGTCGAAAAAAAAAAGAAGGAGCACGGACTATCTATCGACGTATTATACGGAACTCCGGGTTACAGATTCGCTCCTCCTGACGTTTCTCTCCATTACAGCTCGAATTCTGTACACGTTTGTCATTCCTCGCGCGCGGTAAACAGGACTCTTATGAAAATACCCAAATGTTTAGGGGAAACGAATGGGTTTCATAAAAATTCCCCCGCTATCCAGCAATAGCCGCGTGCACTTACACCGGCGAATGCTAAATGCTTTCGTAAACGGACCTCGTGGTCGAGATGGAGGGACGTCTCGGGTCTTTCGAAATTCTTGGACATATTGCAAACCGCTCCCCGGAAGAATCGCATTTCGCCGAGGACGCCGTTTCCGTGAAGACCCTCCTCGAACGAAAACTCGAAGTCTTCATCGGTGATTACGAAGTTTTCTGTCCCTTTCCAGTAGATTAACCTTCAGAGTACGCAGCCCATTTTTGAAATGTAAACCGGGTGGGGTCACTAATTGTAAGATCTCCTCTAAAAGTTTATTGAAACAGGTTTGAATGTGTATTTTGAGATGTTCCAACTGTGTATAGAGTAATATCACGTTATTTAATTAAGTTTCAAACGCATTCGTTTCGACGAACTCAATGAGAACGGTTTACATTTCAATGTAATCTCTAAATGTCGGTTCCTTATGAGATGTTTCTCTTTTCATTTGATTATATAGGTTTCATAACGAAATAATATTTCAAGGCGACTTTGTTTTAACAAATGCTAGACACAAAAAGTCGAAGCGTGCATGCGATCACGTCTTTCATGAAATTATAAGTTCATCTAGAAATCTGTAATAAGTATATACTAATTCACTTTTAGGACATTAAATTTATAATTCTGTTACAACTGTATATACTGACGATGCGTGAATTTTATGAGCATTTTTACCTATACCTCAGATCCCCTAGAAGAAAAACTGATCTTCTCATGATAAAATAATTAACCAATATATTTTACGCATATACCCTTATATTAAACGTACAACGCGAATAAACTACTTGAAAGCAGAATATTAGGAAGAAATTGTTAACTAAAGTATTAGCGAAAAAGATACAAATTAAGGACCCTAGGTGCTCCGTACTCTAAGGGTTAAATTCCTCCTCGGATGGCGCAATTGACCCGCTCTTGCGGGTTCTCGCTATTGTCGAACGATGTATCGATACGAGGATTGAAAATATTGGGGAACTCGAGAACATCGATGTAAACGCGACCCTCGGGGTCTTCCAACGTCCGAATTGCTATCCCGTGGAACCGTCGGAGAAACGGCACCCTTTCGGCCCGAACGAATCCTAAGTGGATTAAAAACCAAGGCGAATCGGCCCCGCAAATTAGATTTCCCTAATTCCGAAAGCGAGGTGCGCTTTTTATTTCTCTTTGGCGCGAAAAATGCGCCGGCACGTTGCCGGGTGCTGTGCGAACGTATGCACAAAAACTTTCCTTCGTGCCCGTTTAAGCTTTCGCTGGCTGGACGTGGAGATTAAATAGCGAAAGTAACGCGGACAGGTTCCTCGGTTCTCAAGAGAAATACTTCATCATATTCAAGTAGGTATATGATAACGAAAGTCACAAATACAAAAGTAATCGAATCGTTAACATATCGTTTTCACATTTTCCTGGATAGAAAGCTCGGGGGTGGCAATTAAAATAGTAAAAAAATAGCGAGAGTGAATACATAAATTTTACAACGAAATTTAGCCCAGAAAAAATGTCGCCGTAACATATACAGTATATGTTGCAACACATATTATTTTCTACATCAAGAAAAAGAAAAAATGTTGTCTCACTTAAAGGCATCTACTTCCACATTTGTAGATACCGAATTCCATGCATCGTGCAATTGTGCGGTTTACAATAATGCAAGGGATGCCATAATAATGGAAACTTTTTATATTCGTCTGTTGGATGGAATACCCTTTCGTTAGTCCACCCGACTTCCTTATTACTTTCGAGGCATAAGATATCAGCTCAAAAGATGCGTGAACATGTCTAAGCAAATGTCTACATTAAATCGTGTGATGGACCGATATCCTGTAGAACATTCATTAATAAACGTTATATTTCTATTTCTCCTACAAAGAAAATAATATAGTACCCGGTTACTGGACAACCATACAGACGACTTTTGCTATAAACATTTTAAAAATATGATACTTAAGATACATATTTTATTACAGAAAAGTATCGATATAAGGCGAAGGGAAAAAAACTCACGAGGCGTTATTCAATATCTATTCAGAAAACGTACAAAATGTACGTAGAAAGGAGCGATAGGGTACCGATCATTGATATAAGGATTAACTTCGGTAATCGAGCGAAAACCGATGCTTTTAACACGGGTTAAGCATCGACTCATTCGATTACGTTAATATCCTTTTTCTGTTTCCCGTTGGATACTGTGTACGACGTAATTACTATTCGAGGGTAAATCGTAAAAAGCGGTGCATATGTACGTGACATAATCTCGCTGTACAATTACGATTACGACGTGCTCCACTTGACCACATCCCAATCTAGCGTGACGCGATATGGCGCTCAAGTAAATCATGGTACATGACAGGAAGTGATGACCAGGATTTGAGTTACTACTACAAATGGCTCACAGGGTACAGAGACCTTCGGCACGTGGCTCGATGCGAAGAAAAGAAGAAAAAATGATTTCGGCAAAGTACAGTCACGTGAACGTACTCCGGGAAAGGAACGCTGGTCCATCCATTACTAGGTGCACTTGCTTTGCCCGGCATCGCGGACTCGCATCAAGCTTTTCGTAATGCACGCCCTGAATGTGGCCTACGTGGCACGAGAAGACCTATAAAAATTCAAAAAAGATCACCAGAAGTGGTGCATAGTTGCGCGGGATTGCCGCAAAAATGCGAATACCTCGAATTATCCGATAGTGTAGGTAGTTTTAATCGCAGTAAATTATATCAGGAACGATGAGAAATTCCTGACAACTTATCGGTCATCTCTCCAAAGATTTTTTTCCCCAAGAGAATATGAAAGTTTAAATATTTACGACGGAGTAACTGAGAGGTTTTGATCGGTTGCAGAGAAATCCGGTACAGATCGCAGGGTGGCGCCCCGTGGCCGATTACAGTATAAAAAATCATGAATCCAAGAGATTTCATTAGTTTTACTCTGATCTTTTTATAATCATTGTATCTGAACGACAGATGGAGTATGACAATCCATACAATACTCGATGCAACACTCCGCAGCTATCAATATAAATATAAACGTTGGTATCGTGGAGCACTGTCTGAAATACTGTATCAGGTAGAAAAATTGAATTTTACCGACGACGATTAAGTTTCTCGGCGGGTTTCACTTCGCCTTGACGCTTGGTGATGGCTTTCTCATTCTGCCCCTCACTTCATTTTGCCCCACCATCACTTAAACTCGGAATAGTCGCCTGAAAATGGAGATGCATTTACTTCCCTCGTTTATTTGTCATTTAAATTTAGACAGACCATTCTTAAACTTGAGGCATTCGAGGTGATGTGCACCCTGGTAAAAATAATGGAAGAGCACCGGTGCGCCGAGAGATGCATCACTCAATTCGTTGGAATGGTTTTGGTCCATCGTCATGCTCGACTCGAGATTCTTAAACCTGCCCCAACATAAAATTCAAAATCGCAAATGATTACGTAAACATGTAGATACAGAGAAGAAATGTTACGAGCTGGAATGAACGCTTCCGAGTCCTCAT